GTATATTTTTATTTGTAGTGTGGCCTTTTTTTGTTGTTATTTATTTATTTGTTGTTTTTTTGACTTGCATTTTTAAAGGCACACTGGCAAGCAGTGATATCAATTGTTGTATCATCTGAGCAATACCCCAGACCTATTTATAAAACCACAAAGCACTGCTTTAATGATACTGTAACACATTTAAAATGTAGCACAGATTAAGTGGATTTGACAAAAAAAAGATGTATTCCTTACAGACTTTTTTTTTTGTTTTATATTAGCCGTCTAAAATACCAAGAGGCACTCATTCCAGACGCCAGCGCACAGAGTTCAGGAAGCTGATAAAAGCTCTTATTTACTCCTCACTGTCATCTTCTCACTCCTTATCCCACCTCAGTCAGACACGCTCGCCGTCACTGGGACTCTGCTGTCATTCTCATCTCAAGCTGGGCCAGGAGAACAGTGTAACCCTCCTCCTCCTCCTCCTCCTCCTCCTCCTCCATCATCGTGTTTTTTTTTACCCATCCATCACTGTGATCTGTACATACGACTGTGAGCATGAGTCCGTGTCTGTCGGCGAGCAGCAGAGCTGTGTGTTTATCTCTGCGCAGCATCTGGAAGTGCGTGTTAGTGCTAATCCTCGACAGCGTGCGTCAAGATTCAAATGAGTTACACTTATCTGTGTGTTTGTTTGTTTTGTTTTTTTTGGCTTTTACAGTGATACTGCATGTGTTTATCAGTGAAGCTGGTTTCAATTAAAAAAAACAACACGTACAAACAAACATAATGTGTTGCATGGTCTTCATCACCTTTTTACTCTCTCTGACTTCTCATGTGTCCTATCAAGCARATGTTTTTTACTCCAACACATCCAGATTACACCAGATTAGTACTCATTACTTTAGTTCCTGCATTTTCACAACTCAGCAGCTCTCATTTCAGCTTCATCTCCAAGCACAGTGTGAAAAGGTACATCCATGACCTGGTGGTACCATAATATATTATGTTTATTTCCCTCTTTTTTTCTTCCTTTAAGCCATTTCCCCCCCTGCAGTACGATAATGAGATATTGATTTAGCTCAGACAAAGCATGGAGCTTCTCTCCTAGAGAGAGCTGCCTCAGGCCAGTAAATAAAAGTCATGGAACAGCATCAGATCGGCAAGGATGAAACTGAGACTTCTGTACAAAGAATGTTTGAGTTAATGCTCTTTAATAAACATATAATCACCAAACCAAGTGGTTAAAAACAGGTTGGAAGTTATTTATTAAATCACTGAGAGGGAGTTGCCATATTCACCTGTTTTTAGAGCCTTATTAACCCATCTGGTTTCTCCGTTCTGTGTGTTAACATGCTGAATAAAGCCTCATGCAGTGCAGAATGTCTGAGTGCCAATTTGGAAAAGATCAACTTGCTGAAAATGGAATTTCTAACTTTGACGGTCAAATATTTCTCACCAGCCATGATTTCAAGTGATGATAGCTGCAGTAATAAAATTATTAATAGTCACTTCTGTAAGTGTCTTGTCAGTTTATCATAGAAATTTTTCATTTATGTATTTATTTATTTTAGTTTGTTCGTTTGTTTTTTCGTTCGTTATTTTCGTTCATTCATTCATTAGTTAGTTAGTCATTCAATTATATCCAGATTACAACTATTGGCCCAGTTTTATAATCCAGTATTTCAACAAGAAAGTACAGTTTATGCAGAGTTATATGGAACGCCAACGTTTTCATTATTAATTAAATAAATTAAACATTATGAAATAAATATAGAAATGAATAAATAATACATTAAGATAAAATGTGACAATGTAATTGTGAAATAACTGAATGTAATTGTGAAATAATTGAATGCATATATAATTCTAAACTCATTATGAAATATTTTTCATTATTCTTTAAAAAAAACATCATCAGTCATTCTGCTGAAAAGTGTCATTATGAAATAAATAAGCCACTGGGAAAAACACCATTATGAAATAAAAGATGACTTTTTGAAAAGGACATTTTGGAATGAAAACGACTTGAATTAAATAAAAACGACTCAAAAATAGTTCATACTATTGTGAAAAAATCCATTGTGAAAGGTTTTATAAGGAATTTTTTAGAGAATAATGAAAAATATTTCATAATAATGAGTTTAGAATTATATATGCATTCAGTTATTTCACAATTACATCGTCACATTATATCTTAATGAATTATTTATTCATATAGATGTTTATTTCATAATGTTTTATTTATTTAATTAATTATGAAAACTTTGGTGTTCCGTAGCATCAGGCCTCCATAAGGAAAAGTAGGTTTCCAGTGATTTCTCTAAGTTTTGAAAGCCATAAATGCATTATTTTGCCTCTGCACATGCTTTCTGTTTTTATATTGCCTAAAAGTATAGTCCCCTCAAATGATCATGAAATTCCTTTTTATAAAAGAGCTGAACATTTTCTAGTAATAGTAGTAGTTAAATGAATACACAAATGGCTTGCCATACATGTCCTATTTACATTTTTGTAGGTTAGTCTAAGAACGGTTGTTTACAAAAAGTTATTTTAATGTCTATCTGGAACATTTTTTTAATTAGGTCAAATCAGTTTCATTCGTTTTATGTGTGTTGTTTTAATGAGGCCTGGGCCACATTCCATTTAGAGGACTGAGGTCAGAGTCCCACTCACACAGACAGGCTGGTTATGGGTTGTTGTGCAGCAGGATAGAATTGGAACGAGGCCCTTATAATCAGGACACCTGGGTTTTTGTCGAAAGTGCCTCCGAGAGGAAAAATGCTGTGACGTCTGTGAAGGTGAAATTTTTTTAAATTTAATTCTATTTATATATGTCGCTAGCAGGTCATTAGCATCATTATCAGACGGAAATTATAACGTTGAGTTTTTATTTTTACTTTTTGTCGTTGAAGATAAATGTAGCTGAAGAAAGTTAACGGGACAGGCAATTGTCTCCATAAAAATAATAATAAAAAAAATCACGAATTTTGACACGAGAATGGAAAGAACACAAAGAAGAGACGAGCTGCTCCTCACAGCACAGGTGAGATATTTCACCTAATATTTCTCGTGTTTCCATTGATTCCTAAACATCATGTTTGCTAACTTGTTGTGACTGATCCTGTATGATTTTGTTAGAGGCGTTGTGCTGTCATGTGGTGGTTGAATACGACGGACTGAGGACCATTTTGCAGATAAGGAGGAGCAAATCTCCGCCAAAAAAACTACAGGTAAAAAAAAAATAAAGGTAAGAGAATTAGAGTAACACGCAATAAGTAAGTAAACTCTATACCTTTTGCAGACACGAACATCAAAGTGTTTTACAGAATTTTTTTTTCAAATGATTCATAGGCTTTTATTTGGAAATATCCGGTTACTGAAACAGCATGGCTGCATAGAGCAGGGGTTCCAAACCTTTTGGGTCTGGGGACCCTCACAA